GAGAGGTGTGAGACAGAGATGAGACTGTGAGACTGACTGTGAGACAGAGACACAGGTGGACTATAAGACTGTGACACTGTGAGACTGACTGTGAGACAGAGACACAGGTGGACTATAAGACTGTGAGACTGACTGTGAGACAGAGACACAGGTGGACTATAAGATTGTGAGACAGACTGTGAGACAAAGAGACAGGTGGACTATAAGACTGTGAGACAGAGACACAGGTGGACTATAAGACTGTGAGACTGAGACGGACTGTGAGACAGAGAGAGAGGTGTGAGACAGAGATAAGTCTGTGAGACTGACTGTGAGACAGAGACACAGGTGGACTATAAGACTGTGAGACAGAGAGACAGGTGGACTATAAGACTGTGAGAGGGACTGTGAGACAGAGAGAAAGGTGGGCTATAAGACTGTGAGACTGACTGTGAGACATAGACACAGGTGGAATTTAAGACTGTGAGAATGAGAGACAGGTGGACTATAAGACTGTGAGACTGACTGTGAGACAGAGAGACAGGTGGACTATAAGACTGTGAGACAGAGACACAGGTGGACTATAAGACTGTGAGACTGTGAGACTGACTGTGAGACAGAGACACAGGTGGACTATAAGACTGTTTGACTGACTGTGAGACAGAGATACAGGTGGACTATTAGATTGTGAGACAGACTGTGAGACAAAGAGACAGGTGGACTATAAGACTGTGAGACAGAGACACAGGTGGACTATAAGACTGTGAGACTGAGACGGACTGTGAGACAGAGAGAGAGGTGTGAGACAGAGATAAGTCTGTGAGACTGACTGTGAGACAGAGACACAGGTGGACTATAAGACTGTGAGACAGAGAGACAGGTGGACTATAAGTCTATAAGACTGTGAGAGGGACTGTGAGACAGAGAAAGAGGTAGACAATAAGACTGTGAGAGGGACTGTGAGACAGAGAGAGAGTTGGACTATAAGACTTCAGACAGACTGTTAGACAGAAATATAGGTGGACTATAAGACCGTGAGAGGGACTGTGAGACAGAGACACAGGTGGACTATAAGACTGTGAGATGGACTGTGAGACAGAGAGAGAGGTGACTATTAGACTGTGAGACTGACTGTGAGTCAGAGAGACAGGTGGACTATAAGACTGTGAGACGGACTGTGAGACAGAGATACAGGTGGACTATAAGACTGTGAGACAGAGAGAGAGGTGGACTTTAAGACTGTGAGACGGGCTGTGAGACAGAGAGAGAGGTGGACTATAAGACTGTGAGACTGAGAGACAGGTGGATTATAAGACTGTGAGAAAGAGAGACAGGTAGACTATAAGACTGTGAGAGGGACTGAGACAGGGAGAGAGGTGGACTATAAGACTGAGATACTGAGACTGACTGAGAAAGAGACACAGGTGGACTATAAGTCTATAAGACTGTGAGAGGGACTGTGAGACAGAGAAAGAGGTAGACAATAAGACTGTGAGAGGGACTGAGACAGGGAGAGAGGTGGACTATAAGACTGAGAGACTGAGACTGACTGAGAAAGAGACACAGGTGGACTATAAGTCTATAAGACTGTGAGAGGGACTGTGAGACAGAGAAAGAGGTAGACAATAAGACTGTGAGAGGGACTGTGAGACAGAGAGAGAGTTGGACTATAAGACTTCAGACAGACTGTTAGACAGAAATACAGGTGGACTATAAGACCGTGAGAGGGACTGTGAGACAGAGAGAGGTGGACTATAAGACTGTGAGATGGACTGTGAGACAGAGAGAGAGGTGGACTATTAGACTGTGAGACTGACTGTGAGTCAGAGAGACAGGTGGACTATAAGACTTGGAGATGGACTGTGAGACAGAGATACAGGTGGACTATAAGACTGCGAGACAGAGAGAGTGGTGGACTTTAAGACTGTGAGACGGACTGTGAGACAGAGAGAGAGGTGGACTATAAGACTGTGAGACTGAGACTGACTGACACAGAGACACAAAAAATTGCACAAAAAGCTTAAAAAGTAGAAAAAAGTTATATACAAGCATAAATGTCCTTAAGGAGCTGAACATTATGATAGTTGAATGGTTTTTGTAGCACAAAGTAGAGAGGAGTTGAAAACAACCGAAAAAATGGCAGAAGAATAAGAATAACTAGAAAAGCAATTTCTGAAGAAATTGCAGTGTGAATGCTGTCTGCTGAATGGCTTGCGCTAAACTGAATTGCGGGCTTGAATAAAGTTGAATAGTACAAATGTATGAAAGAAGTGGAAAGTTTTGTTGAAAAGCTGACGCTAAACTGAATTGCTGTCTTGAACAAATTTGAATAGTACAAATGTATGAAAGATGTGGAAGGTTTTAAGGACTGTTGAAAAGCTGACGCTCCACTGCATTGCTGGCTTTAATGTGCAGAATGTAGCTGAAGGATCAATCTTGGAAACATAGGAAATGTTCTAAAGAATATGAATAAGATTTTACAGTTGAATAAAATTCAAACTGCACTGATAAATGTAGAACATTTTAAGGTTTGAATGTAGTTTTTAGCTGAAAGCCATGAAGAAGTTAAAGAAATGTGAAAACTCCCCCAAGCGTTGTGAAGATATGACCTGAAATATTTAGAAAGGCTGTATGAAAGGTGACATAAGCATATCAGCTCCAACAGGAGGTCCTGGGTGAGCAGAATGACTCCACAGTGTTTAGTGTGGAGTTGCACAGATTGATGGGGATGGGTGCAGCAGGCCTCTTGCTGGAATACCCGCCCATCTCCACTGTCTTCAGAAAATTGTGGTCCACATTGATCTGGCTGCTCCAGGACCCCAGATGGTCAATCTCCCACCTGTGGGCAGACTTATCCCCACAAGAGATGAGCCCAGTGAAGGTGGTGTCCTCTGCACACTTTAGAAGTTTGGTGGTTTGGTGAGTGGAGGTGCAGTTGTTGGTGTTCAGGGAGGATAGCAGAGGGGAAAGAACACGGCCTTGAGGGAAAACAGTGGTGACTGTCCTGGAGTCAGAAACATGTTTTCCCAGCTTCACATGCCGCTTGCTGCTGGACAGTAAGTCTGTGATACAGCTGCAGGCATGATCCACAAGTGATCCATGAGTCCACAAACAGGATCCTGGTGTAGTCTCCTGGAGAGTCCAGGTGCTGGAGGATGTAGTGAAGGGCCATGTTTACTGAGTTGTCTGCATTACATCATTACATCATCTCAATCAGCTATGTGCTGAGCCAACATTCCCAGGTTTCCATGGCAATACTAAAAGCTGTCTGACTTTGACAGGCTTAGACAGCTGCTCTTATTGACTTTTAACCTAAAGCACAGAACCTCCTACAGAACAGATACAGGTAACAGGTAACTCCCAGTGCCAAAGTAAACATATTGTTAGAGAGATAAGAACCTCAAGAAGATGATGCCCAAGATTTGTGTGTTTACTGTCAAAAATGGCTTCACAGCAGCAGTATAGAAGTGTCCACCTTTCAGCATCTTTCCTGAAAGTGCAGCACATTTTTAGTATGGGAGTCTATGTGGCAGTTGAGTGGGACTCCTCTCACTCTCAAGCCAACTGTACCAGCTGTGAAAGTCTGTTTGCTTTCAAAGTTGGACATGAGCAGCAGAACAAGTTTTCCTACAACTTGTGAAAAAATTACGTATGTAGAGTGAAAATTGTAGGAGATACAGCGAGTTGAAGACAAATTTTTCAGAATATTTTGAAGTGAATTCCCACTGTGTCAGTTGGTCCCCTCACTCTAACTCCCAACATTCCACCCCTTCCGCTCCCATTATAAACTCAGAAAACAGGCTGACAACGACATGAAACTTGAATTGACATTGTGTAAAAAGTATAAGAGATGTGAAAAAGTTGAATTCACTGGAAAGAGTCCAAAGTTTTGTGAACGTTTTAAAGGTGGAATGGCGTTTCTTCGTGAATGTATGAACTGGTGGGAAGAGGTTGAAGATCAGTGAGTTTGAATAGGATTTGAAAGTTGAATAATACAAAGATAGAAGGAAAGATGTGGAATCTTTTCTATTTGGATGGAGTTTCTACACTGTTAGAAATTACCAGCATTTCACAATAATTAAAAGTATTATTTTACAGTAACTTGTTGTAAATGAGTTTCCCTGTAATATCCCGATGAATACCTGTAAAAACTACAGTATCCTTGGATTTTACAGCATTTAACTCTTATTTTACAGTAAAATCTTGCAATCTAAAACCTGCTGTTATATCACAACAAGGTCTGTAATATCACAGCAACACAGTGAAAAAATTAAGGATTTCACAGCATTAAACAGTATTATTACAGTGTGCCCTTGGAAGTCACATGACATAACTGAACTGTTTTGAACTGAAGGCTCCGTCGTGTCCCTCTTCTATTCCGGGCTGAATGGAGAAGGTGAGCAGCATGCATGTTTGCAGCACTTACACCCATGTTATTTTAATATGATAATAATATTTACTTTCAAATAAATGTTTATCACATGACTCAGTTCACATTTTGTTAGCAAGTGCCCGGAATTGTTGAAAGTTCTCTCACAGCATTTGCTAATAGTAGTAATGTTAGTAATGAGGAGAGTTTCGCTACAGTTTTTCATGTCACTATCCCCGTTTAGACAAATCTGGTGTTTGTAAAGTTTATAAAACCAATGATGGGACAAACATTACTATTTATGTGTGCACATTTCTGTAATTAGTCAAGGTTATCATAGATTAGCATTGCTAACTGTTAGCTGTTTAACTTTAATAACTTAGTGATTCAAACGGTGATTCACCGTCAAAAAAAGATAGTGATTCAAACAACACAAAATCACTGTCCAGAACTTTCTCATTCACGGTTCCATGCTGGTGGAATGATCTTTCCACCCTCATCCGGAATGCACAATCCAGGTCCATGAAAAAATATTTTTCCAGCGGATATCCTAGTTACAACATGACTGAGCTAACTGGAGTAAGTTAGTCTCATGTCGTGTTCGACAACGGGAGGGTTTTAACACTGGAGTTCCCACTTGTCCTGATATGAATGAATAATAATTGTAAAAGTTGTAAATGCACTTTACATTGAGTGAGCAATCTCAAAGTGCTACAGTAAAAAAACACTATAGATATACCACTATCATTTTTGACATACGGCTAAAATTAAATGAAAATCAATTATCATAATCTGCATTCAAACTGAAATTCTTATTGTTGGTTGCCTTTGTGTAATTTCTCCTTTTTCTTTTCTTTTCTTTCCAGGTCATCCTGTTCAGTGTCAGGCTAAGAGTGAGGAGAAATAGATTAGGTAGGTGACTAGTTAACATGCATCCACAATGTTCAACTGTAAATTCGTTGGCTGTGAGCATGTGTCTGAGAATGTGTGTAACTATGTTCAGCACACAAAACTGCATAGCAATGCCCCCAATTATCACTACCAGTGTGGGGTGCCTGACTGCTCACGAAGGTACAGAAAACACACGGGACTGCAAATTCATATGTATAGGCAGCACAGGTCCTACCTGCAGGCTGCTGGGCCTATACTGCCTGACACATCAGCTCTTACACCCTTGAAATGTCTGCTTGAGGCTTGTGCATTTAAGTGTGACACTTTGGCCTCTCTTATTAAACATTTGAAGACGCACATAAGGGGAGGAATGGTAACTAGATGTCCATTTAGAGGTTGTGATTGCACGTTCACACACGTGATGACTTTTGCTTCACATATTTCCAGAAAACATAGATGTGCATCATGTGCAGTATTCAGAGGCTGCCGAGGAACACGCAGCACCTGAAAGTAGTCCCCGTTGCATTCTACGGGGACTATTTTCACGTGCTGCGTAATATCACTGCGCCCATGGTACGTTTGCAACGTTCCTTGATTATTACGCCAGAATGAGAGTATAGTTCCATGTCAAATCAGCCTAGAAAATTGCCATGTTTCATTTTGCGCTAGTTTTATTGCACGTTCTAACTTGAGAAGAGACAACTTTTAAATAGGAAAAATTCCGGAAATCTTAGTCATTTTGAGGGTGAGATGCTAATGGTCTAATCCGATCCAATGATCTATGCTAGACTGGAGCTATACGTGGTATTGCTTAATTCCCCAAATAGTGGAATATCCCTTTAATTAGTTTGATAAAATACACCTGTGTTTACAAAACTATTACACTGTAACATAACTTCTGTGGGATGGGTCTATTTAAACAGTCACAACAGGGAATCGAACTGCTGACCCTTCAGTCATGAGACGACTTGCTCCAACTTCTGAGCTATAACTGTCCCCAATAGTATTGTTACCCTGTGATGCCCACTCCTAGGTGTGTCAGGTGGGGCCCAGCAGATTGGCCAGAGGGGGAGACCGAGGCAACGTTGGAGAATATGAAGAGGGATCTGCTGAACATCTACTCAGGCATGCCATCTACTCTCTTTTTGGGTAATTTTGTTTAGACTTTAGTAATTGGTCAAGATCTTAACACTGTGTGTGTTGGGCGGCTACAAGACCAAATTGTTACTTGGGTACTAACAATACATTTGTATGTCTATATACACAGAGGAAGGAATGAGTGGGGCAGGGAGAGCAGAACCAATGATGGAAAAGACATACGTCATCCTGCGGAAATACCTTAACAAAGTGCCTGCTGCAGCGATGTCTGAGATCAAACAGGAATGGCCATTTCTCTTCTCTCAGAAATGCCTATTCTCACACTTTGGCCTCCTGACGGACGTCGATGTCCTTCAGAAGCTACAGGAGGCAATTAGTCGACGAGGACAGACCATCCTGGATTACTGTGCAACACTGGACAACCCCAAGATCCGTGATGTTCTGGCCTGCTATGATCCAGACTCTGACAAGGCTGCCTGCATCCTGCTGCTCCTAATGTTGTACTTCAAAGAGCCGAAAGAGAGTTTGATGCTTGAAGTTGATGTAAGATTTTTTTATTCAAATATTTAAAATGCTAAATGTGTGATTACATTATCAACATTTACCTTGCATGATTTACTACCTCTGACCAATGAACAATATTTATCCTTTATCCTAAATCCATGCTATTGTGTGTTAACTATACTACAGCCATGTGCCACTGCTGTGTACGTCAATACTGCAGAACTCCCCAGCACCCCCTGCTTGATCATTCAAGGTAATGTTACTTTGATCTAGTATCGACATTTATCGACAACTCATTATTTTCTTTTCATTCTAGAAATCTACATGACCACAATAAATAATAATAATTATGATTATAATTAGAAATAAAGAATTACATTTGTATAGCCCTTTGTGTCTTAAGCAGATCGCAAAGTGCTCATAACACATAATGTTGTATCTGTTCATATCAGGTGACATGATGAAGCCCTCTGGATGGCTTATATCCATCGAGGGACATGTCGTGATGGGCCCACACCCTTTCTTTTTACATGGAGTAGCTGCTTTCTTCAGCAGCTATTACGTCTTCAACCTTGAGTATCCTGCCTCTGGATCGTCGACGCTGGAGTTCATTCAAAGGTATTTTATAAAGATCACATTTAATCTTGTAATTCACATTATAGTACAGGCTTCTTGAGGTCTAAAATGCTGACAAACGAGGTACCTGAGGCTAGCCTGGTAAGACCATCCTGATCTTGCAAACTCATTCAATTTCGCTCTGCAGATCAGTCTGGTTTTCTACACGTTATGCTGACAAATACCTGCTGGTCCAATCACAGTTATTTATTTTGTTTTGGGGCAGGCTATGTGATGATGATTTCGAAACGTCTATTGCGAAATGCGAATGTATTGAATGAAGTAGATTAAATTTTCTTTAAAAGCAGAACAAAATGCTCTCAGGCCCTTAATTGAAAAGGATGTGTTTGTCATACTTGCAACAGGTTTTGGTTTTAATTTACCAACTGGGCAATTGCGTGAAGATGCATTTCAGTGGCGGCGCAACTTGATATGGCCTCTCATAGTAGAAAATCAACCACTTTGCCTCAGGCAAACCTAACCAAATTATGGTGAGAGTACGATCTAACAAGTTTGCACAGCAAAAAGCGCACCTTGATAAATGCTGTCTGCAATACATACTGTAAGTCTATTTAAAACTGAAACTATCTTTGCTTATTAACAGGTGCTTCCTGGGCATCAATCCTGAAAGAGGCTCAAAGACCAAGAAGCGGACAACAATGAACCCTCATGTGAGCACCCTTTTGAGGAAACTTATTGACTTTGAGTGGGCATCATAGTTTTTGTTTTTTGCAGCGGTAGTTGTCAGGCTCAGTTTTGAGTAGCCTTGTTCTTTTTGTAATTTTTCAAGACAACTTTGCACTACAAGATTTTTACACAATGCTGTTGCATGTGGACTCATTATAATGTTTGAGACTGAGAGGAGCGCCTCACCCCTTTAAGACATTCCTTCATCGCTCTCTCCCTTGCTCTCTTATATTGCCATGAAGGCCTCATTCCCATCCTGTCCATTACTGTTATTGTGACACAGCTAGTTGAATAGTTGAATTGTGAAACAGGTAGTTGAATTGCAAGTTTGCACAATTTCTCTGCATTTTCTGCATTTTAAGATGGCTTTTATGACTAGAAAGTTGAATTTCTTGAACTCTTGAAGTTCTTGGCATCTGCTGCACATTGAAAAATATTTATTTGTTAATAAATATGCCATTGGGCTAACATTGAATTTACCTCAGAGTTGTTTGTTGGGGGGAGGGGGTTAATTGTACAATGATTGTAAATTCACAGTAAATGGAAGCTTCATCTGCATTACTTTTACAGTACATTACTGGACAATTTTAGCATGACTTCCACAGTATACATTGTAAATTCACAGTAAATTATTGTCAACTTCTACATTACTTTCACAGTACACACTGTAAAAGTACAGGGCCTTGTTGTAATGATGTACAGCAAAAGATTGTAATTCCCCAGTAATGTACTGTAATATCACAGTAATTCCTTTGTCATTGAAGCTGTGAAGTTACAGTATACAGTTGTGCTTTTACAACAATGCATTGTAATATCACAGATATAAAATTACAGTAAATTGCTGTGAGTATATTTCACAGTATATTGCTGTAATCCTTACTGTGAAAATCATGCAAAATTTATCCAATTATTTATTGTAAATTCACACCGAAAAATTTTGCAGTGTAGCTGAAAGTATGAATGAGTAGTTAACAGTTGATATATATATATATATATATATATATATATATATATATATATATATACACTACCGTTCAAAAGTTTGGGGTCACCCAAACAATTTTGTGTTTTCCTGAAAAGTCACACTTATTCACCACCATACGTTGTGAAATGAATAGAAAATGGAGTCAAGACATTGACAAGGTTAGAAATAATGATTTGTATTTGAAATAAGATCTTTTCTACATCAAACTTTGCTTTCGTCAAAGAATCCTCCATTTGCAGCAATTACAGCATTGCAGACCTTTGGCATTCTAGCTGTTAATTTGTTGAGGTAATCTGGAGAAATTGCACCCCACGCTTCCAGAAGCAGCTCCCACAAGTTGGATTGGTTGGATGGGCACTTCTTGCGTACCATACGGTCAAGCTGCTCCCACAACAGCTCAATGGGGTTCAGATCTGGTGACTGCGCTGGCCACTCCATTACCGATAGAATACCAGCTGCCTGCTTCTGCTCTAAATAGTTCTTGCACAATTTGGAGGTGTGTTTAGGGTCATTGTCCTGTTGTAGGATGAAATTGGCTCCAATCAAGCGCTGTCCACTGGGTATGGCATGGCGTTGCAAAATGGAGTGATAGCCTTCCTTATTCAGAATCCCTTTTACCCTGTACAAATCTCCCACCTTACCAGCACCAAAGCAACCCCAGACCATCATATTACCTCCACCATGCTTAACAGATGGCGTCAGGCATTCTTCCAGCATCTTTTCATTTGTTCTGCGTCTCACAAACGTTCTTCTTTGTGATCCAAACACCTCAAACTTGGATTCATCCGTCCACAACACTTTTTTCCAGTCTTCCTCTGTCCAATGTCTGTGTTCTTTTGCCCATCTTAATCTTTTTCTTTTATTGGCCAGTCTCAGATATGGCTTTTTCTTTGCCACTCTGCCCTGAAGCCCAGAATCCCGCAGCCGCCTCTTCACTGTAGATGTTGACACTGGTGTTTTGCGGGTACTATTTAATGAAGATGCCAGTTGGGGACCTGTGAGGCGTCTGTTTCTCAAACTAGAGACTCTAATGTACTTATCTTCTTGCTCAGTTGTGCAACGCGGCCTCCCACTTCTTTTTTTACTCTGGTTAGAGCCTGTTTGTGCTGTCCTCTGAAGGGAGTAGTACACACCGTTGTAGGAAATCTTCAATTTCTTAGCAATGTCTCGCATGGAATAGCCTTCATTTCTAAGAACAAGAATAGACTGTCGAGTTTCAGATGAAAGTTCTGTTTTTCTGGCCATTTTGAGCGTTTAATTGACCCCACAAATGTGATGCTCCAGAAACTCAATCTGCTCAAAGGAAGGTCAGTTTTGTAGCTTCTGTAACGACCTAAACTGTTTTCAGATGTGTGAACATGATTGCACAAGGGTTTTCTAATCATCAATTAGCCTTCTGAGCCAATGAGCAAACACATTGTACCATTAGAACACTGGAGTGATAGTTGCTGGAAATGGGCCTCTATACACCTATGTAGATATTGCACCAAAAACCAGACATTTGCAGCTAGAATAGTCATTTACCACATTAGCAATGTATAGAGTGTATTTCTTCAAAGTTAAGACTAGTTTAAAGTTATCTTCATTGAAAAGTACAGTGCTTTTCCTTCAAAAATAAGGACATTTCAATGTGACCCCAAACTTTTGAACGGTAGTGTATATATCTCTTAAAGTATGAAGGTTATCAAAATTCTGTTGTACTACATAGCTGTGTGTGACACCACATGGTCACGCCACATAGCTGTCGTGTGGTAAAACTTCCTTCAATTGGGGGTGTGCTGCATCCTTGTGTCCGTAGTGCGTTCTCTCATTTCGAAGGGAGTTAAGCACAGCCTTTGAGTAATAGGTCGTCCTATAAGTTATGATGTGTCAGTTGCTACTTCAATCCACTGTGGCTGACTTTCCGTGGGTTTAAAGGTACAGCTCTTAAAAAAACAGCTATTCCTCAAAAAAACATGAATGAATGTATTCCTCAATACGGACATTTTTGTCCCTGAGGTGCTAAGTGAGGTAAAAATGAAGGTACCAAAACAGTTAAAGTTTGAAACATGTTCTTTCTAAATGCCAGTAGGTGGCACTGTCCCTATGACTGGATATAGACATGTGAGACTCTAAGGGGTTGACATGTGAAATTTGGAACAGATCTAACCATGTGTAGTCCATTTACATGCTACTTCCTTTTCATGGCGAATCATCAAAATTGAACGCCACGCCATGGACACACCGTTAAATCAATCAAAAAAAGCTTCGCAATTTAACATCGCAAGGCCTTTAAGGTTGCACTGCCCACATTTGAAGTCGAT